TTCTCCGAGCCGCAGTACCCGCCCTGCGACGACAGGAAAGGCCCAAGCAACCGCAGCGAGCTGGGGGGCTGCAAGATGCCCGGCAGTGCTCAATCTTACCTTGCTGCCTGCGCTGCTCCCAGCTCTCACGGCCATGCGTTGCGCTACAAAGACATCTGTCTCAACGAGCCGCGGCTCGGTCCAAGTCCTAGATCTCCAGTGGCTATGCGTTGTTCAAGCTGGCACTTCTGCCACCACTTTGCCAAGCCGTGCCTTCCTCCCAGCTCGCACGTTACTTCCACCGGGACCCACCCCGTGTCTCGCCCCTTTTCCAGGTCACTTATACGAATGATAAAATGGACGGGTCCCGACACAGACCCCTGGGGGACCCTGCTGTTTACGTCTTTCCATCCCGAGTACTGACCATTTAGACTCACTCCTTCGGTTTCTGTCTCTTAAGCCAATTTTCTAATCCAGAAGTGGACCTTCCTGGTGATCCCATAACTACCTAGCTTCTTCAAGAGCTGCCGATGGGGGACCTTGTCAAAAGGTTTTGTTGGAAGCTGTGGCAAAGTGGGGGGTCCCCATCTAGCCACAGTGCTAGTCTCCCCGACTCCCTTTGTGTACACCACGCACCTGTCTCGCCTTGTTGTTAATGAATTAAGTTGTTAATTAAGGTGGGAGGCTGCCCATTCTTGCCCCGATGCCAGGGGGCGCTATCTGCAGCTCCGTTCTTCCCCTACACCGCAGCCCAAGCCTTGCTGATGGCATCCAGGTGACAATGCTCCCGGCTCATCACTGGACCGAGCTTAGGCCTCGTTGTCAGACCTCGGACGCACACACTTTCATACCGCCCTCCTCTCACTGGGGCCTCGCACACCCCACCCCTCTCACGGGGTCTCTTTCACGCCTCGACAACTTGTACCACCTGGCTCCCTCGTGGAGCAGGCCCCTTCGGCCATAGGCTTTAGCTAGCTCATGCCTTGGGTGGCAGACGTACCAATTTTTGGGTCTCTCCCACAACCCTCACTGGGGTAGTGGCCAGCCAGTTGCCCGGCCGGGTCCAAGCTTGCCCTGGCCCCTCCTGGGGCAGCTCTGTACACTCAGTCAATACTGGACTCCCAGCCCTCTGGTCCCCCCCCGGGGGGTCCTCATTTCTGCCCCCTCACCAGGGCTATGGCACTTCCCTGCCCTATGGGGCTCAGGTGGCCACAGCCGTGCCTAGCCCCCCACTCGTTCTTGTCCCACACCACGACTGGTGCTCTGGGTCTCACGGGACTCTCCCCGCCCGGAGCAGCAGGTCATTGTGCTCTACGCTAGCTCTTACTTTCGACCCACACGCAGCCTCCCAGCGGTGGAGGGCTTACCGAGGTCAGGACTCACCCTTATCTCTCAGACTGAGCCCCCGTACTCAGCGTCTGGCCCAAACTGCAGCCTCGGGCATCCAAAGACATCCCTTGGCTTCCTCTCACCGGGGCTCCTCATCTCTGCCCCCCTCACTGGGGCCACGGGGCTTCCTCCCTGGTAGGCTCAGGTGGCCATAGCCACACCTGGCCCCAACTACCGGGGATGTTACATGGCCCACCTGAAGGCAATGGCTGGGGTTAAGGCACCCTGACCCACCTTCCACCAGGGTGGTAACTGGCCTGGCATTTCCTGGGGCCTCCCACACCACTGAGCCCCACCAGGCCACCCACTCCCAGCAGGGTGCAGTTTTAGATCATGCCCAGGACCAGGAGCCTCCTAGCCATCCCCTACAGCACCTGCCCTTACCTCCGGGCTGTTGCATGAAGCCTCACAGCCAGGCAATGGTCCTGCCTGGCCACCAGCAGCGAAATGCCCTGTTTATATGGGGCGGGGGCAGAGCTCTAAAATGGTCGCTGCAATCACGCACCTGCCGGCTGCTTGGCTCCGCTCTTAAAGTGGCAGCACCACCAGTGCCCTGCCACGGAAGCCCAGATATACTATGTCAACTGGACTACCCAGATCGCTGAGCTCTCAGCTGGGTGTGCATGGAGCCTCTGCCCAGAGGAGCTCGCAGCAGAAGCAGGCACAGACCAACCGCAGGGACGGGGAGAGGTGGGGATGCAGCTGCAGGCATCCAACGCTGCCCTCCTCTTCCTCGCTGCTCCATGTTGGAGGGCAGACGGAGGGTGGCCTGGGCAGGAGCTCCTCCCTAAGGGGAGAAGCTGGTTGGAGAAAGAGGGCTGGCGTCCGGGCTGGAGGCAGCCGAGCTGTTTCCAATAGGAGAGAGAGAGAGGGGGAACAGAACTGCAGCTGGAACTGACCCCTAACCATGGGCCCTCCTAACCCACACCCATCCCCAAGGCACTTTGGAGTTATGGGGTGTCCAGGTAGGGCCGCGGGGTCAGCTCCCGCTCAGGAGATCGGGGCAGGGGGGCAGGGAAGGGATCCGTGATCTCCAGCAGGGACTGCAGGCCCTGGCGCAGCCTGCCTGGATGGCAGCAGACAGGACTCACGGACAATCCTCGCTACCGGGGGTGTTGAGGGACCATTCCCAGAGCAGGATCCCAAGGCAGAAGGGACCCGGTACCTCCTTCCAGGGCTCTGCCAGCCGTGCCTCCTTCGGGGGCCTCATCCCAAATGAGGAAGCTGCACCTTTCCACCCCTGGCTCTGGGGAGCTTGGGCAGCGGCTGCTGCTTCGTACTGCAGCTCCTTCTGTTCCCATGCCCTCCTGGGATCGGGAATGGGAACGGGACCCACCGAGCAGGAGCTGGCTTGGTGATGGCGAGGCTATCGGAGCAGATGAACGCGGCTCGAGGTTGGAGGTTCACTGGCTTGTGTCCAGAGAGATCCCCAGAGCAGGGCAGGGGCCCGTCCTGTGCTGCACAGGTCTCCGCGTTGTGGCGCTAGGACTCCGAGGCCTGCTCTGCTGCCTGCCTGGTGCCGCGGACCCCAGAGGGGACGTGACTTCTCCAGCCGCTGTGTTGCAGGCCGGGAAGCGCCACGTGGGCTTGGGCCCACGTCACACAACTCGGGAGAGCAGACACTGCTTGTACTGGGCTGCCAGCCCTCCTGGCAAGGAAGAGCCACAGTGACACGGGCTGGCTGTGGGGTGTTTATTTGACATCATAGCACTGTCGCACAATTCACCGCCCCATTAGCTAACCCTCCCCTCTGCCCCATGGCTGCCGGACAGTTGGTGCCAGTGCTGCAGCCAGGAAAGGGTCCACAATCAAAAAGACCAGTAGTGGCCTCCAGCCCCGGGAGTGGGCATCCACACGAAGCCACAAAAGAGACCACGGAAGAGGTGGCAGGTTTCTGCGTGTGATCCATGCCCTTCCCCGCCCCAGGGATGCGGGAGCTGAAGTCCCTTTGCCTGCGCTGACAGGGGGGACCCAGGGTCTGCACGTTTCTGTCCCGCTACAGGATGTTCTTTGCGATGGCGTTCAGGGTCCGCACTTTCGCCACGTCGGCCACCTTGACCGAGTACTCTGAGGCAGAGAGGGAAGCTCCCATGGCAACGTGAGGGTTTCTGTCAGGAAAGTCAAGAGGTGACCGATACCACCAGCAACAGGAAGCAGCTGGATGCCAGCCTGGGCCAGCACAAGCAGAGGGATGCTGCCTAGCTTCTCAAAACCACAGGAGGAGGGCAACCCCAGGCAGCCAAGGGGAAAGTCTCAGCATCGGGAAGAGATACTGGCATTGGCAGAGCCCAAGTGCAGGCCTGGAAGCATGTGCCAGGAAGCATCTCCACTACAGGGCCTTGGGGCATCAATGTCAGGACTCCCTGTCCCTCACGTTATGCCCAGGGCAGTGGTGCTAGGACTATGGAGCTCGGAGAGATCAGCACGTCCTGGATGGCTGGTCAGATGCAGGACTCGGGCTATGCCTAGCAGCTGCGTGCAGTTTAATTCACATGCCCCAAACACCTGTGCCAGGACTCGGTGCCAGCCTCCGGGCAATGTAGAATCCACCTGCCTCCAGGCATTATGCAGTGAACTCCCAGGACCTACCGATGCACCTGCAAGTCACGCGCTGACTTTATGCTCAGACAAGCAGGGATAGGAAAGGGGCTGGCTGGGCAGGTAGGCACTGTTACCTGAACTTCATCCCTGAGTCACGGGCTGAGCGTGCCGAGCAGTGGAACTCGGAGGTGCTGGAGCCCTCGAGGATCCGCTGCAGGTTTCGCTCCGTTATCCCGCCACCTGGTGGAAGAAGTTTGGTTTGATGTTGCACTTGGGCAGGGAGAGTACTCGAGGCCCTAAGCACTACCCAGGGGTTAATGCCTCTGAAGCAAACACTGCCCAGTGGCAGCCTAGACACACAGGGGAGTCCAAGCTCCCAGCAAGAGCTGCACTGGACTGGCCCTCTGGCCCCTACAGGGAACATCTCCAGACCTGGCAAGAGGTGGTTACACAGAGCTTTACTGAGAGAGCATGGCCTCATGTTCCCCTGGAGTGAAGCCAGCACCTGAAGAGCCCACAGATGGCTCGGAGTGCTAGGCCGGGACCGCTCGCATCTGCATGAGCCAGAGGCCTGGACAGGAGCAGGAACCCCCCAGCCCACGCACAGACAGGAAACCCGCAGGTTCCTTACCTGGCACCACCACGATCCTGCCCTTTGCCTGAAAGGGAGGAGAACAAGCGTTAATGCTCTTGCCCACTCTGGCTCAGCACCAGGGAGCCATGGCACTGTTGGGCACCACCCTGAGCATCCTAATGCAGTCGGGTCCCCCAGAGAATTCACCTGCACGCCTGGTTACGGGAGCCACAGTGTCACGTGGAATGCCCACAAGGAGGCCAGTGACCTGGCCAGTGGTTGAATGCACCTGCCCTGCTCTGGATGCAGAAGCTGGCAGCGCCTGGCCTGGCCTGGCTACTGCTTGGATGGGAGGCCACCTGGGAATTCAGGGGGGTGCCTCTTTCTCTTGCAGCTGTGCAGGGGATGGCTGGGATGACCCTTGATGCCTGTTACAATGCCCTGTGTGTGGTCTGGGGGGCTCTTGCCCATGGGTTTGGCACCCCCAGTGCAACTCGAGCATGACACTTCCCCCACTGCCTTGGCACTAGACCCCCCAGCTAGCCTGAGGATGCTGTATGCCAGCCTGCTCCCACCCTGGGGCCTTGGAGACCCTGGCACAGCCACGTCAGCTTCCCAACTTCCAGTTAACTTACCTGCCAGTCAACACTAGAAGTGCATGTGTCCTTCATAGTTGATCGGTTCATAGTTGGTAGGGTCAAGAAGGGCCCTGACGAGATAATAAGTTCTCCCCCCCTGCCGTGGCAGGAAAGAGTACTGGGGTCCAATGACCCCGGCGAGGTGTTCGTCCAGCCTCCTCTCAAAGACCCCCAGGGTAG